CAGTTTAGCCGTTTTTAGTTTTAGTTACAGTTTAGCTGTTTTTAGTTGTAGTTAAAGTTTAGCTGTTTTTAGTTTCAGTTACAGTTTAGCTGTTTTTAGTTTTAGTTAAAGTTTAGCTGTTTTTAGTTTTAGTTAAAGTTTAGCTGTTTTTAGTTTCAGTTACAGTTTAGCTGTTTTTAGTTTTAGTTTCAGTTTAGCTGTTTTTAGTTTTAGTTAAAGTTTAGCTGTTTTTAGTTTTAGTTACAGTTTAGCTGTTTTTAGTTTTAGTTACAGTTTAGCTGTTTTTAGTTTCAGTTACAGTTTAGCTGTTTTTAGTTTCAGTTACAGTTTAGCTGTTTTTAGTTTTAGTTACAGTTTAGCTGTTTTCAGTTTTAGTTAAAGTTTAGCTGTTTTTAGCCACAGTTTCTGCTCCGTTTGTTTTTAGCTTGCAGTTTATTTTTCAACAAACTTTATCAAAGTCTCTCAGAACTCATGGCTCAGACTAATTTCTCTAGTTTATCTGATTTATCCCAGCATGGCGTCACTTTAACCCTCCTGCTGCCCTTGGGTCAAAATGACCTCCGAGGCCTTTAAACTCTGACCTCAGGGCCTGCGGCTCCCTGACCTTTAACCCTCCTGCTGCCCTTGGGTTAAGTAGGTGTCCATGATCTCACACCAAAATGAAACAAGAGAGAGTCACTGGTTCGTATTTTAAAAACTAAACCAAAGTCTGTGCTTGTTGTCGTAAAATCAAAGTACAACTTCTCTGCTGCAGGTGAAACACTGCGCCTGATGACTCGGGGTACAAACTGACCCACAACACCATCTTGGACGGCTCCATTCCGCAGGTGTCCCCACCCTCCCTCCCTCCCTCCAGCCGGGTAAACGCTCTCTTTCCCCGGCCACATGCCATCACCTACCCGCTGTAGTGCGCTTTAATCTTCACCCAGTCCGAGTCCAGGTCCATGACGGATCCGTTTGACGCCAGCATATGCATCGTTGACGCTAAAAACTCTCCACAGGTCCAAAGTTTGTGTCGCGAACCGCGCCGTGACGCTTCGAAATGTAGTTTTCACATAGCACGGCGGAAGTTACGGAAAGTCCAAGATTCTTAAAAGAAAACTAAAAAAGGTTTCGGTGAAGTTTCTGTCGTTTGGGAAACATTAACCGCTTCGATGACGACGGAGCTATCAAGCTAGCTTGAGTAGTATGAGTGCTTCCGGAATGTGGCTTTCAAAATAAAACAAATGCTGGACAATGTACATGGATTTTGAAGCAGAAGTTAGCGGCTTGACTTTTACTTTGAAAGCCAGCACGTTAACGGTTGTTAGGAGGAATGATTTACCTCGACCAGGTTTCTTCAGGCTCACTATGGTTACGGTGATCTAAAGACACCTGTCCGGTTGTTACCGTCGATGCCTGGCACCAACAAAAACTCTCATTATGATGCAGCGATACAAAGAGAGCACATGGAGGTTGATCGTTTGATCCGAGCGAATTAATATCTGTATAATGGCTTTAGATTAAAAGTATTCTGGAGAAGTTTTTATTCTTAATGTTTTATTTTACAAAAGTGGGCTAAAGAGAGTTCCTTTGTTTTTCAATGAATGAGCAAACAGGAAAAAATATAGGATTTTTGTTTTTACCTTTATTTAAGAAAAGGGCAAAAGTATAGAATAAAAAGCACGATAATTATTTCGTCCTAGTTTAGCACAATAATAAAAGTATTATGGCGCCATCTCCTGGTCAAAAGATGAATGTTCAGATTCATCCTGTTTGTTTTGGGATTAGTTTTAGGATTTTATTATAATAAAAAAAACAACTAATGAATATAAAATATAATAAGACTAGTTTATTTATGGATTTGATGTTTTTTAAAACAAATATTTTAAACCAAAACTTTTTTTTATTTAAAAGTAAAATGGGTTTATTCATATTCATGTTTTAGTTTTTATTGACCGTTAATCATATGATGTTTTGCTTTTTTATTATAAAAATCATGTTCTTAATCAATTTACATATTTAGTTAAAGCATTCTGGTCCAACTTGTGGGGTTTGATAAATAAACTTACATTGACACAACACAGTAAATAGCATTGCATATTACAACTGATACATTTGATTTAAACAATTTAAACTTTGTAACATTAGCTAGATTTATAATTATTTTACTAAACTGTTCATTGTCTTGTGCATTCTGGGTTTTTTTGTAAAAAAAAAAAAAATAGATTTCGGTTTCCAGTTATTTTGAACTCATTTATAAACTCAACATGTAAAAGTGAACAAAACGTCAGAGTCCAAAGGATTTTATTGTTTTTGACACACTTTAATGAAAACTTTAGAATAAACAGATATGACAAGGAAAAAACAAATGTGAGAAATGGTCAAAGAAAAGCAGTTACACGCAAAATTTTGTTAAAACAATTAGTTTCAATTTTTATTCTGCCACGTTTTAGTTTCTTTGTTACTGATGCATTTAGTCGACATAAATGTGTCACAAGAATTTAGTTTTATTAGAAATATTTCAATGAACTTTAAAACGTGAATTAAGATGTATTAATGTAACAGTTGTGTAACCCGTCCTGTCATAAACATTGTCAGAGGCCGATGGGTCGGACGAGGTAGCGCTTCACTGTGAATGAATGGTTCGGAGCACAAACAACATGGTCAGCTCCTCTACTGGCACAAACATAACACGGTCAGCTCCTCTACTGGCACACACATAACACGGTCAG